TTGGCATGTAAAATCCCTATTCGCTTGAAAAAATCACGCACTGACTATGAACTAGCAGTAAGATGGCCAGCAAAACTGAAGGAAGGATGAACAGTCATTTTCAGTGTCTGGCATGTAGTTGATGTGTAACTCAATGCATCACATCCTCGAATTCTGATCATTAGACACAGAGATCATAGGGACCATATAAATCGTCGTTTTCTCAATAAATTTTCAAATTTTCTGAAACTTCATGCTATGTTGTTCATTGTTCGGGTTTACTTTCCACGTATGGTAGCGGGGAAAACAGTCAGATGTTCATTAACTAAACCAGTGATTGTTCTCAAAGCCACACCAGACTGACGACTATTTATTCTACCTACATAGCAGTAAAACTAGTGCAAAACTACAATTGCGTATTAGGGTGAACTCGTTCAACCGTAAGTTCCAGTCCTTGTGTAGTTGAATCTCGATGAAGCTTAGTATACCTCCATAATACATTACTGAAAGGATGTAAAACACCTCCTAGACCATCAAGAGTTGCACTTTTTCTCGGCCCGATGGACAGGCTTGAGTGCGTGTGTGTACACAGTGCCATCAGAATAGGGTACCGGTCAGCGTTAACCTAATTTCGTCCCTAGTGTCCTAGGGAAGTGAGTGATCGGCCTTTGTGTTTGCGTCTGCGAAAGCATCCTAGCCTGAAAAGTCACGAACCTACAAAGCATCAGGCAAATGCATTTGGCGTACTGAAAATAAGACGGTGTCAAGTAAAAACTTCGAAATCAGTGTTAAGAAGCTGATATGTGCTCCGATTATTCGATCAGTGACAGTATCAGTAGGACTTCTAGGAGAGTTCTCCCAAGTCTGTTAAATTTTCTAATCATCCGGATAGGAACAACTGGGGGCAATGTGTTGAAATATTGTTAGCTTGGGTGCGTTAACTGGCTGTTGAACAAGTAGCAGCCGACCTGTTATCTCCTGTTGCAAACGCCTCGTCAGCATTAGAAATTGCCTGTGTTCGACTGGTTCCAAAAGGTTGTGTAACGCCTTTGTGGTGAGCGGAATTTTCCAGCAGCAGCGATTACACTAATCCCAACAGAGAGAAATCACTTAAGACCGGTCAGTCTCTTGCTGAGCTCAAAACAGATTCGATAAGAGGCTATCATCCAGCAGGGGCCGAATTTTCCATTTCCTCCGGGTATTCTCTTGGGTGGACTGCATGACGGCATTAACCGTTTTAGAGGTAATCTGACAAACACCCTCTACGTAGATAGAAGTATGTATTAGGGAAAACATTTGCAGATAAACGGGTGCAGCTTAAAAAAGCAGAATCCAAAAGTCATAGAGAGACTAACAACATTTATGGTTGGAAATGAAACGGAAGATGGCGTGTCTTCTGCTACCGGAGGCCACCCAGTAGACTCTGTTATAGTGGCCACTTCAGTTAAATCACTTCACACACCCCGAAGATGTAATATCCCCCACGATATGGCTGCCATCAGATACTAATACAGAGTGAAGGAACTGGTTGGCGGTGAATCCCGGTGGACACCGATATGTGAATAAAACAAAGCTATTCCGGACCGCTATTATCAGTTCACGTGAGATCAAAAGAAAATTCAGACACATTTTTGCAACACAAAACTGGATAGCTTACAGCAGCAATTTCGTGCCCACACCAGAACCGGTGCCTCCAGCCAAGCTCATTGTAATTAGCAGACCGTCCAGTTGATCACATCGTTCCAACTGACGTTGCACTGGGGTTTCAAGCTTCTCCACAATATTGTGTGCATGAACAAAAAAGCCATAAGCCCAGTTGTTTCCTGCGGTTGGATGGAAACGCATAATAAGATGACAGTGAACAAGTTTGTATTCCCAGAAAAAGTTCAGTTCATCGGCTTAATAGAATGGACCGGGAATGTACTCGCGCGGAAAGGCAAAAATCGGCAGAAGAAATGTGCACTCATTCAAAAATGGCATGACAGTAATGCTGTTTACTCTCCAGCACAACTTCCGAGCGTAATCATAGCCGATAGGAATGATCCATTTTCCCAAAAACTCCTTGCTATAACATCGCCTATTACGTGACTAGTCTTATATGTCTCCCATATGTTTGAAGAAACTTCCTAGAATGAGCAGTGTCAGAGTGATCCAGCTTTTAGTGTCTCAGCAATAGCTGTTGTCGTTAAACCACTTTCCGGGCATAAGAGAAACACTGTGATGATGAAAACCGATTTCGGATTTTCAAAGCTGTCAGAGTATTATCAAAGTTTCGGGACATTGCTATCGATCGTGAATGTGCTCGACCTGGCCACTGCCAGTGCGACTTATACAAAAGGCAACCATAAAATGATGTGATGAGATAGCTGTATAGTGTCTCTTAGCACTCTAGCTTGGCTTACCTGTGGAATGAGATTTACACTGGAAACTCATTACTAACACTTGAGGGATATCAAAAGCTTGCTAATTCTCTGGCCCACTTCCGTCCCAGGGGGCAAAGGGCGGGGCACAAGTCTCGAATTAAATTGAATCCTAACAGACAGTGTTTGTAGGTATGGAATATATGAAGTTGTTACGTCCCAACTAACCTGCAAAAACGTGGCATACTCTACATCCTAGATTGGGAAATGTGACAACACGGCATATCTTGAACTGGTACAATAAAAATTCCACGTTTTCGAGCAATCCGAGCGTGTGGAAACGAAAGGTACGAAGGGGGCCGTTAGATCCACCACTTTGACAAGAAAACTGCGTACTTACTCGCTACATCCATCGTATTATTAATCCGTTCATAACGCATACTCGAACGTAATATAGCCATGACATGGAAACTCACCAGACCCACACTTTGCAGTGCATGAATTTTTATCTGGATACCGCCAGCCAGTGATACGACGTTTTGTGCGCCTGAGGCGTGCAATCACTTTCTCTTCCATATCGACCTGCACGCACCTTGCTTCCAATCCACCATCTTTTCAGAGCAGAAGCGGATGTAAATAGCTAATAAGCTACACTGACCTGCAACATTTTTATGAAAGAATGTGGATAGAGAGTCCTCTTTAAAGTTTCTTTCGGAACTGGATAGCTGGACTTTATGACCAAAACAATCTTCGTAAATCGTATGGAATAACTCCGCACCCAACTGATTACCACACTGACCAATTTGCACGGACAATATTGACATCTGAAATAATGAAAACCGTAGGGTGAAATGTGCTGGGCTCGAATACAATAGTTTCAAGAAGGCAGTGAAATAAAGCAATCCCAACTATTCGCATTAAGAAAGGTGATGTGCTTCCCAAGAGAGATATTTCCAACAGCGCGGTTTATCAGTGCTGATGGAGCTCATCACCATCTTCATTCTGTTCCCCAGGAAAGCTCACCTCATTATGTTTAAAGATTTAAAAAGGTAAGAAGAAAAGACTGGACAGATAGGAGACCACTGAAGCATTTTGAGGAGCCTGCACCTCCAAGCGTCCAGTCAGAAAGTTTGGCTAGAAACTGACAGCATGAACGCAACACCGATCAGCCACCATTTTTGTCTCTGCGACGGGGCCTGCCTGGAAGGCAGATTGCAGTAGCAATACTCACACTCGTCATAATCTTTTTCACACCCTTCCTCCAAGTTATACGTTGTTCACCTTGCTGTTTCCGCCATTCCAGAGGAGGCACGGTAGAGGATGATTGGGAACAGGTGACACATAAACGACGATAGCAGTCGATTGTGCTGGATGTTTTCGTAACCAGAGTAGATGTTACACAATGGAACATCTTTTACTTATTACCTCGTTTCAAACTCCTAAGCAACCCTTGAGATAGTGATCTGCTTTTTTGACCGCACAAGTAACGCAAACCGGCAAACATAATTCACGCCTTCAAGGTTCATGTACTCACTTAATCAGATACTCTATTAGAGCCAACACAATTACTACAAACTTCGACACTCCTTAAATTGCAGGGGACAGGCTCAGAGAGTTAGTAATTCGTGGAGGCAAGGCAGACGACAAAAGATGGCGTACTGATTGTAGATTTATTCAAGAGTGCGTGTGCTTCAAGTCCGTCTTCAAAGTATGAGATGCTACTGTTTGTATATTTTACACTGACAAGATTCTCACAAGCAAGGACCTAAACGCCGGGATCTGAAGACCTAGATTTCCTTACACCGCTTCTTCAATGACGAAGTTAAACAAGAACGGAGTGGCCATCTTTGCAGAGCTCGTGTTGTAGCGAAGCATCTGTAAAGCTCATCATTCAATCTCACGTGCACCGAAGTACGTGGATATAGGGACCAGATTATGTTCGAAAGCTGTTGTGCAATCACAGTCAGTAACATTCACCGATTGAACTCACTCTTGAAGTCCAGGAACATCAACATTGTGGGTCGCCATTACATGGAGCATTGATCCAATTATTCAGCTGTAACACCTTTCTGGTGCCTAACAGCCATCCCAACAGAAGCTAGTACAAGGACTAGAATACTACCAGGTTGCCCAAGTCTAGACAGGGGAGGCATAGTGATATCCGTGCACTCGATGGAAATTTTCAGCTAGAACAAAGCGCCATTGGTGAATTATATATGGTTGGCAAACTAGAAGGAGATGCACTTTGAAAGTTCTGTATGGTGTAGTGTGCACGCTGTGGAAGCACCAAGGGACATTGATTCCCCTAAGGTAGGGGCTAAGGATAGTTTATATGAATGTAGAAAAGAAAGGAGGCTCTTGAAACGGGGCAAGGTAAGCGAGCCGTACATCACCAATACTTACTTATCAGTCAATCAAATGACCGGAAGTGTAATATTGTGGTATACGGTGTCTGTCAGTTTGATTGATTCATATGTAAGTATACTTACATATGAATCAATCAAACTGACAGACACCGTATACCACAATATTACACTTCCGGTCATTTGATTGACTGATACTTCTGTTTTCACAGAACTTGTCGTGAACACCTGCTTCGGATAATCACTGGACCCTGGTGCTTCAATAGCGTGCATATTTCAATATACAGTGCACTTGATGGATCAAAATCATTTCCAACCCTAATTGCCTAGTGACCTAGAAAATTAAGCGAACTAAACAAACGGAGGTCAGCTACAGGCAAGTGAAACACGCACCAGAAGCATTCGCCACATTACTAAGCATCTTGACGTCGGAGAAACTACCAGTGATTTCTATCTGCTGATCTACTGCGCCGAAAACGTGATAACTCTTTGTCTCTGGTAGCCAGGAGGTCAGACACTCCAAGTTCACAAGTGGCACTGATTCACAGATACACGGATTGATACAAAGGACCGAGGCTTTTGCCCACGTTTCCCGGGTCGCTTTCGTTCTTGTCGGTCAGTGGCTGTAGTTCGCCTAGAAGGTACAAGTAGCACTGCTCTTTATGTTCTCAGCGTGGGGCAGTGTGCTTGCCAGCGCGAAGATTCGCATAAATTAATGTCTAATAGTGTTTAAACTGGGTTCTAGAAGGAGCATGGACAACCGTCAGAGGAAGGTCATTCCACGCACCTACTACCCGAAATGAGAAAAAATTTTGTCTGATGAATGTGTGCTCTGAGCTTGAAAATTTTCTTACTATGTCCCCGCCGTGTGTTCGCTGGTTCAACGGTAAAAACCTGTTTGCCAAGCTTTGTTCAAAAAGGGTATAAGTTAGAATTAGGTCCCCTCGGAGGCGACGGTACTCCAGGGGAAAGAGATCGAGCATCGCGGGACGCGTTTCGTAGTCCACCGATTTGAGGCCAGCAACCGTTCTCGTAGCGGCCCGCTGGACACGCTCAATGAGGGTGACATCTTTCGTGCGTCCTGAGTAGTCAACTTGGTTGGCGTACTCCAGGAGCGGTCTGACGTAGGC